CCGGGGCGCCGAGGCGGAGCTGGCTCGCGCGCCGACGCCTCTGAGCCGGAGTGGCCCCCGGCGCGCCTGGGTTCCCTCGGAAGCCCGCACGCGGGTCCATCGCCCTGCGCCGCGACCCTCCCGGCCTCTCCGCAGAGGGCTTTGATCTCACGCACACATGCCAACGCTGCTTCTGCGACTTCGGAGAAAATGAGCAGTCTCCCCCAGCCTCGGAAGAAAAGGGCCCACAATGGCCCAACTCCCGTCTGATCGGTGACCAGTGCCTCCTGCGGGCCGTGCAGTTCACCAGGACAATAGCCGCCTCGCGGCCGGCGCGGGAGAAAGCGCCCCGCGCCGCCGCGCTGCGCACCCCAGCTCTGCTTCCTTGTTACTTTTTTCCCACAGTTAAGTTCTCCGTTTGCTTCTTGAAAAATAAGAAGTTTTTACAAGATGTAGAGAAAATTTAAAAAAAAAAAAGTAAATCCTCGATGAAACAACAAGCAGAGGGACCCGAAGCCTTCTCTTTGGCTTTCTCAGTGGTGATCAGCCCCCGGGAGAGGAGCAGACCAGGGGCAGCGGGCTGGGAACCAGCTCGCCACAAAGACCTGACAATCACAGCCGCCTGGCCGTTGATAAAGCCGAGGAAGCTGAAAATAGCACACGGATTGGCTGATTACCTAGAAAGTGGTTGCTAGAAGAGCCCCGCCTCACACCGACTGGAGCAGAACTTCAGCGAGGCAGTGAGGGAGAGGCGTTGATACTTTTGTAAACGCTTTAGGCGATCCTGCTGCGCTGCCAAGCCTAAGCGATTTGGGGACGCGTGTAAGGAGAGGCCAAGGTGCGGCGAGGGCTGTGTTTACTTCATCAGAACAAAATGCAGCATATAATATACCAGCGGCCGCTCACCTTGAAATAAGACCCCCTACTCACTTTTCTGCTTGCTTGGTTTAATGGAAAGGCAAGGCAGGCTTTCTTCTTTCTACTTTGTTACCTACTCCAAGATAGTTTGTTACCCATTCTTTAAATGAAAAAAAATTTTTAAAGTAATGCTTTGTAAGTAGTAGAACTCAAGGCTGAATGTCGTTCTGATTTCAGGCTAGCCATGTAATTTTTAATAATAATTCTGTAATATTTAACATGACTTTATATTCAAAATTTAAACAGTCCAAGCTTTTACCTACAAGCTTCAGCCATTGTTATCAAAACAAATTAGAAGTATCTGCAAGGAATATATTTACTAAAGCTTTTTTTTTTTTTTTTTTTGCGGTACCAGGGATGGAACTCACGATCTTACGCTTGCCAGGCAGGCGCTTATGCCACTGAGCTATATCCCCAGCCCCTACTAAAGCTTTTTTTGTTTGTTTTAAAATATGCAGTAGCTGAGTGAGGTGGCAGGTGTTTGTATTCTCCACTACTCAGGAGGCTGAGACAGTTTAAACCCAGCATGGGAAATTTAAGTGAGACCCTGTCACAAAATGAAAGCTGAAGGCGGTGGCACACACCTGTAATCCCAGCACTCGGGGGGCTGAGGCAAAAGGATCCTTGTGAGTTTGAGGCCAGCCTGGGCTATCTAAGCCAGTTCAAGGCCAGCCTGAACTACACAGTGAGACCCTGTTTCAAAAAAACAAAGTAAATAAATAAGTATAAAAATAAATAAAAAGTAAAAAACAGGGGCTAAGGATGCAGCTCAGCACTCTCTGGATTCAATTCCCAGGACCAAAAATAGAGTGATTTTTTATCTTTGGGACAAGTTAAAAACTACTCTGGAGTAAAGTAGCGATTTGATTGTGTTTGTGCTTGACAGACTGACCACCGCTGTCCTGGTCAGGGGCCCCCAGCACAGCTGCGCCTGAGAACTCAGCACTCTCAGCCCTGCAGTGGACAGCAGCCGCTGCTCCTGCGCTTTCCCAAGCCTCGTCCTTGGGCAGCCAGGACCGCTTCAGCTCTCTCAAGCCTTGCTCTTGGCAGGAAGCCTCCAGCCTCTCGCAGAACTCCCCCGCCCCCATGACCCTCCAAAAGACCCCATCGCTTATGCAGAGCTGGTCTGGTGTCAGTGCCACAGGGGCCCACTCAGGTTTGTTCTGCAGTGAACCTGGCCCGGTGAGCTTGTACCTGTTTCTTCTTTTCCTTTTTCCTAGCAGTGCTTGTACTTAATGAAGAGTTGAGCCTAGCAAAGTCTGTGGTGTTCAATGTCCGTCGTATAGCGCGCGTTACTTGATTCTTACTGGTAACTTCACCGGAAGGGCTCATAGCCAGCAGGAAGAGTAAATTCTCCTTCTTATGCAATGGTGATGTTAGTGGAGACCTAAGGTAACTATTACCAGGAAAATGGGTCATCTCCAACAGGGAGTCCTAGGCAGCTCTGAAAACAGACACAGCCAGCCCGAGCCACCCCATTCCTGCAAATACCAGTTCTAGAGGCCCACAGATGCATTTCTTTTCCCCTTAGGCCAGCAGGACTTGGGATTCTGCTACTTGCCGGAGCGACAGGAAACAAAACACTGTCAAGTGCCTCCAGGTCTGAGGGAAAGGCTGGGTGCTTCGCTCGGTCTGAACGCAGCGTCTTGTTTTCTGTCTGCTCCTTCCCTCCTGCTTCCGCTTCCGCTAAGTAACTCCTGATGGAGTCACTGCTACTCCATCACCCAACTCCTTCCCTTCGTGACCAACACCCAGGCTCCTGCTTCCCCTCTCGTAAGAAGAATCCCGACTAAGTCCCAGAGTTCTGATCTGAGGCTGCGGCCTGCGCGGAGAGCCACGGCGCCTGCGGACCGCGCCCCGCACCCAGCAGACTCAGGAATGTCCTCTGCCCCACGGTTTTGGCTTTCTTAGAAACTGCTCTTGGTTAACATCATCTATGGAAAAATTAAGTTGTTCTTTTCAAAATTTTCATTTATGGGTTTTAATTTTAAATATTTGCTAATCCTTTTTCTCTTTAGTTTGGTAACATTTTTTTTTTCCTTTTCTAGGGGTGACGGTGCCAGGGATGGAACTCGGGGCTTCTGCATGCTCAGCACACCCTACATCCCCACCCTCTATTTTTGCTAATATTTTAGATGTCGTTTTCAACTTACTGTTTTTTTAAAAAGTACTTCTAAACTTAATGTTTAAAAGATTGAAAAATGTCCTTAGACTATGTCTAAAAATAAAGCCAGAGTGACATCTAGTGGTTCCTCTGGCTCAATAAATATTCATTAAAATACCCTCAGAGCTGGGAATCACAGCAAATTCAAGGCCAACCTGGGCTACAGAGCAAAACCCTGACTCAAAAAAAGGAAAAAGATGGAGTCATCATTGACAAGAAATGGTTAAATTATACCTTTGTAAGGTTATTTTGTCTATTTTAGAAAGAATGCCTCAGAACAATCCCAGGTTGACAAATATCAACCCTATTTCAGAGCCTGTGCAATCTCTTTCAGCAACTTTCCAGAGACAGAAAGAGACATGTCTCCGGTGTCCTCGTAATGCCGGGAACTTCCCCAGTGGCCCTGCCTTGCCTCTGAACACCAGGAGAGGAACTAAATGCCTCCTCGGAAGTCACCCTACTTGGAAGAGGTGTAAAAGTGCAAAGATTCGTTTTGACTGACCAGGAGCTGCCTGCTGGAACCCCCCTGAAGCACAGAATGTGGCCACTGCTCCCACACAGCTGGGGTTCTGTGGGACCCAGGATGGAGGGTGGGTGTGAGTCGGGGTGCAAAGTACAGTGCCTGCCTCACCAACGGTCTTCTTCTTTTTGCGACCAGGTCTTGGTGTGTAGGTCAGGCTGACCTTGAACTCACTATGCAGCCTGGGTTGGTTTCCACACAATCATTGTGGGTTTTTTTTTTTTTTTTTTTTTTTGTCTTTTTGAGACAGGGTCTCCCTATGCAGTTCAGGCTGGCCTTGAGCTCAACTTGTAGCCCAGACTGGTCTCGAACTCACAACGATCCTTCTGCCTCAGCCTCCCAAGTACTGGGATTACAGACGTGTGCCACTACGCCCGGCTCCACACAATCATTGTGGTAATCCTCCTGCCTCAGCCTCCTGAGTGTAGGGATTACAGGCGTGTGCCACAATGCTTGGCTATCACCAAATATCATAAGGGCCATCACAAAATAATCACAGCACAATCAATTCAAAAGTCAAATGTCTAACCATTCCCCGAGACAACTGTAAACTACAAATGTACTAAAAAATAAAATAAACCAAAACAAAACAAAATAGCCCATCAGTGCTGAGCTGTACCTTGGACAGCTTCAGGAACTCCGGTGAGCTGCCACCAGCCCCACACACGAGCTTGGGACTAGGCAGAAACTGGGACAGCTTTAGGGGCCTGGGGTCCATTCCCTGCTCCTCCTCTCCCCACCTTCCCCCATCAGAGCTGAGCTGTACCTTGGACAGCTTCAAGAACTCTGGTGAACCGGCCCCACCTCTGCTCCATCAGCTCAGGGGGCCACAGGGAGCCCCAGACAACCTCAAGGGCCTCGGTTGCTCCTCCCTGCCCCCACCCCACACCCTCAGGGGAGCTAAACTGAAACTCAGACAGCTTCAGGGGCCTCAGTGACTGCGCACTTACCCCCCCCAACACACACACACACTGCTGTGGGAACTGTGCAGGGTAGTGGCAGTGTACGGAGACATGGTGACCATGACCCACCCACTACTATACCCCAGTGGAAACAGAGCTGAAACCTGGACAGCTTTGAGAACCTCTAAGTAGGAGCCAAGCTGAGCCACAGACAGCTGTGGGAGCATTAGGTATTATACCCTGCCCCCACACACACACACACACCACTGAGGGAGTCACACCAAGCCCTGGGGACCTTTGGGTCCTTACCCTGCTACTACAACATCATCCTGGGAGTGAAGCTGAGTTCCAGGGAACCTCTGTATCTCTGAAAATGACAAAACGAAGGAGCAAAATGCAATCTCAGACCTCTACCCCACTCAGAACAAGTCCAGGAGATATCAACACAGATGAGCTTGGAAGTCATACACCTGAAATTTCTGAAATGATAGTAGCTGAAGTAAAGAAACAACTCCATCAGGGCATAGAAGACATCAGATCAGAAATAATCTCTGAGGTAAAAAAAGAAATGACAACAATAATGAAAGAATTGCTTAGCACATCTAAAGAAGACATAGAAAAAAATAGAGGAGCATAGTAAATAAATGGAAACCTTGAATGAACAGTATAGGAAAGAACTAGAGTGCATAAAACAAATTCAAACAGATATCCAGGAAATTAAAACTTCCATCGAAAGCTGGAAAAACCCCTTGAATGAAGCTGAAGATAGACTTTCAGACCTTGAAGACAGCATTGCTGTGAATGACTGTGAAAGGAAGGATCTCTTAAAAATAACAAGAAACCAAGAAATAACAATTCAACAGCTGCAAGATGAAGCAAAGAAAAACAATGTAGGATTAATACGTATCAGTGAACACAGAAGGTATCAGCACAAATGACATAAAAAGACTATTTGTAGAAGTAATAGCAGAAAATTTCCCAAACATGGAAAAAGAATTGGACATCTGAGTAAGTGAAGCATATAGAACTCCAAGTAGCCATAACCAAAGTAAATCTACACCAAGACATATAGTGATCAAGATCCCAGAAATGCAAAAAAGACCAGAATACTAAAAACTGTTAGAGAAAAGAAACAGATCACCTACACAGGAAGGCCAATCAGAATCACAGCAGATTTCTCAACACAAATCATCAAGTCAAGAAGAGCTTGGAGTGAAATATTTCAGGTCCTGAAAGAAAACAACTTCCAACCCAGATTGATGTACCCTGCAAAACTATCCTTCAAAATGAATGGAGAAATAAAATATTTCCATGACAAAGATCAACTGAAGAGCTTCATGAGCACCAAACCAACCCTACAGAGTTCTAAAAGATATTCTAGAAAGAGACAAAAAAGACCACAACTTTAACAACAACAGAAAGGAAACACCAAGCAGAGCAAGCAATGAAACAGAGGGAAACAAGAGGAACCAACAGCAGGATAACATGACAAAGATAAGCCAATACATATCAGCTATAACTGTCAATGTAAACGGACTCAATTCACCAGCCAAAAGAAGTAGACTGGCAGAGTGGATCGAGAAAAAATCCAATAATATGCTGTATACAAAAAACACATTTAACTCAAAAGGAAATTCATATACTGAAAATTAAAGGATGGAAAACAGTATTCCATGTGACAGGTACACAAAAAAAAGCAGGGTAGCTATTCTGTTTGCAGACAATGGGAACTTCAAACCAACAACAATTAAAAGAGATAAAGAAGGTTACTACATACTTGTGAGGGGAAAGCTTCAAGGTGAAGAGATAACAATCATAAACATCTATGCACCAAACACAGGAGCACTCAAGTACATAAGACAAATTTTAACAAACATGAAAAATGAAATAAGCAGCAACACAATCGTAACAGGGGACTTCAATATCCCATTGTCACAAAGAGATAGATCAACTAGACAAAAAATTAGCAAAGGAATAACAGAACTGAACTAAACATGTGAACAAATGGACTTAGTACACCTGTACAGAGTGTTCCACCCAACAGCATCAGAATATATATTCTTCTCAGCTGCACATGGGACATTCTCCAAAATAGACCATATGCTAGCACATAGAACATGCTTAAGGAAATGCAAAGGAGTTGAAATTATCTCATGCATACTATCAGACCATAGTGCAATGAAACTGGAAATTAATGACAAAGGAAATTGCAAGAACTCCATAAACACATGGAAATTAAACAGCACCCTCCTGAACAATCAATGGGTCACAGATGAAATCAAAGAAGAAATTAAACAGTATGTACAATCAAATGAAAATGTAGACACAACTGACAGGAACCTGTGGGATGCAATGAAAGCAGTCCTCAGAGGGAAATTTATAGCAGTGAACTCCTACCTCAGGAAAACAGAATGAACAGAAATAAACAATCTTATGCTGCACCTCAAGCTTCTAGAAAAGGAAGAACAAATCAAACCAAAAGCCCAGAGAAGGAAGGAAATTATAAAGCTCAGGCCAGAAATTAATGGAATGGAGACTAAAAAATGATACAAAGAATTAATGAATTGAAGAGTTGGTTCTTTGGAAAAATAAATAAAATTGATAAACCCCTAGCTAACCTTATTTTAAAAAGGAAAGAAAAAACTGAAATACATGCAATAAGGAATGAAAGAGATGAAATCACTACAGCTCCTGTAGAAATTCAGAAGATCATCAGTACCTACTTTAAAAATCTTTAACAGGATGGAAAACACAGAGGAAATGGACAGATTTCTAGGTATATATGAACTACCAAAGCTGAATGAAGAAGATATAAAAATCCTGAATAACCCTATATCAGCAAGTGAAATTGAAAATGTAATTAAAAAACTTGCCAATGAAGAAAAGCCCAGGTCCTGATGGATTTACAGCTGAATTTTATGTGAAATTTAGAGAAGATTTAATGCCAATCCTTCTCAAACTCTTTAAGGAAATTGAAAAGGAAGGAATTCTCCCCAACTCATTCCTGGAGGCAAATATTATCCTGATACCAAAACCATAGAACGACCCAACCAAAAAAGAGAACTACAGGCCAGTCTCCCTAATGAACACAGATGCAAAAATTCTCAATAAAATACTAGCAAACAGAATGCAACAAATTGTCAAGAAAATTATACACCACGACCAAGTGGGATTCATCCCAGGAATGCAGGGGTGGATCAATATACGCAAATCAATTAATGTAATACACCATATCAATAGAGCCAAAGACAAAAATCACAGGATCATCTCAACTGATGTGAAAAAAGCTTTTGATAAAGTCCAACACTTATTCATGATAAAACTCTGCAGAAAATTGGCATAGATAGACTTT